TATATGTATCATAATAATCTGACAATACTATAATATTGGCCATATTATATTTACATTACCATAGTGAGATGACTTTAGTCTCATGAACAACATTCACTAATTATTATTTACTAGCTAATCTTTTGACTGTTCAGTACAGAAATGAAGCCCTTGAATCATGTTTTACAGTCCTGTGGTCTCAGCCTCAGATACTCAACTAATCAAAGTGATGTCATGACAAAAATGATTGACCAACAAAACAATTTTCTCCTTCATTTATGTCACACAAAGCTGTATGTAACGTGTCTCGCGGTTAGTATCATGGTTGCTAGGCAACCTGAACAGCGCGACGAAGCATATACCGTCCCATTTCACACGCCTCTCACTTCCGCACTTCTCGTACTTATAGTACGTAGTGCGCGTAGCGCGCGTACTTCAAGCGTGCAGACCCTGAAATTGGACACAGCCATTGTCACCAAAACCCCTTTTTTAAAACAAGGAAGTATAGCGATTTATCAGTCACTGAGTAGTAACCACAAACAGCCATAAACTGCCAAAGCTGCTGCCCCCTGCTGGCCATTATGCAGGTTTAAGGAACTGTCTCCACTTTTTAGACTTGAATGCTGCATTCATATTTTACATACAGTCTGTGTCTAACAGATCCCTCAACTGGTTCATGGTTAGTTCCTCATCAACTATGGTATTCATTTCTTTGGAATGCCATTTCTCTTATGCATAATTGCGAGCACCACATTTTTGTCAATAAAGATGACTACAGTAGTGCATATACCAGATATATGACTTGTTTGTTTTTAGAATAACTGATGGAACTAAGTAGTGTAAAAATTTCACCTCAAGAAATGAAAAATGCAGACGATGGTAAATGCCCAGAACTTATGCAAAAGCATAACAAGGTTGCACAGATTAGACTGAGCATATCAGAGAAGTCAATTGGCTCCAGGTCATTGTTTTTAATATTGATGGGGAAAAGAATTGTATTTTCTTTGAAGACCATCTGAAATTGTTGAAAGGTTTTCTTTTTTCTGTTTTTCAAAGTAAATAGTAGTTGCGCCTCCTTCTCTGGGGAAATGATGCCCAAAGTTGAACCTTTCAGGAAGAATTTCTCTCATTTAATCTAAAGCAGAAAATCTGCCTCAGTCAGGAGAACAACCTCCATTTTAGGATAAAAAATGATTTAAATGTGTACCTGTCAAAGCTACACATTGCCAAGTTGCATGTCTATGAATGCCTAAATACTTCAAGATTTTATAAAATACAGAAATGTTTCTGGAATACACTGTGATTGGTTTAAAAAGTATAGGACACTAAAGTTTGTAATGCAAGTTGCTTTAAATTAAGGCAATGTATGTTTTAAAATATACCCGCCATGACTTACCTATCCAAAGTCCCAACCCTGGCCACGAGATAGAGGACACTTCCGATAGCAAGGCTGCCCAAAACGAAGAGCTTCTGTCTCAGCAATGCCTGCTGTTTGAATAGCATGGCCCTCCATCAATCTTCAGGACTGTGACTTCAGCCTGCAGAGAGCCAAGCACATAAACCACTAATCACCGAGGGAAGAGAGACAGCCTAATGTTTATTAACACACACTCACTCAAGTTTTACAAGTGATTAAGCCGCGCTCACATAAGGCTGAAAAGTGCTGCATTGCCATTAAAGGAAACGCTTGCCCAACCACCACTTTGTTACATTTATTTATTTCAGACAAGTTGAGAATCTGATTTAATGGAATACACTGGCATGCTGAGAAAGATCAGTTACTGCTACGGTTTTAAAAAGTTGGCTTCAGCATTCCAAATGAACAGTTCTGTATGCACAAGTTGCAGTTCATTAATCGATACTTCTTGAGAACGACCACATAACGGTGAATATTCTGAAAGAGGTCCTTCTGTTGAATAACCCGCAGATAACTGCCAGTCCTGCAGTTACCCTGAGGTCTAAATAGCTTTTCAGCAACACTGCACTGCTGTTAAGGTTTTTCTCTTGCTTGATGTGAAGCCAAGAAGCAGCCTTGGAGAGCCTTCTATGTGTTACAATGACAAATTCACATGACTGAACTCAGCTTTTCGATCATGTCGTCAGTTGACCCATTGTTAATCAACAGTGTTTAATTATTGCATCCCGACTGTTACATAATGAATTTATTAAGAAACTGTGACTGTTTTATTTCAACTGTCTCAATAAATAAATAATGTTTCTTAGCTTCTTAGTGTCCTTAATGTCTGTCCTCACTTTAAAACTAAACGTCATATCTCTATTTGTAAAAACATTCAAAGAAAAGTTGAGAAAAAATCCCCCAAAAAGCTTAGTCACATTATGGTGATGCATATTGTACTGTTTACCTTCAAAATTGGAAGAAAATCTCATATTGAGCCAAGAGAGGGCACTCCATCCTTTCAGTGGAGTGCAGAAACACTGGTCTCACTGCCATTTCTGTTTCGCTCTCAGTGTCTGAACCTTTTGTGCGTCTGCAATCTTTGCACAGCATGAGCAGGTAAATTACATTATGAAATAGCAGTTCAATACAGAAGGCAGAGGCATTGTTAAAAAAGGGCCTCTGAAAGTGCAGTCTAATCGAGCCCTTAAAACAGGCCAGCATTCGCGACAGAGCGCTCCCCCAGTGCCTCATGAATAAATACGGATGGCTTTTGACCCCTCTATGACTGGAAAACATTTTGCTCATAATGCCTCATAGTGACTTCTGAATGGAGACCTGCAAAGCAACTGCAATTTCATCAGTCTGACAAAGCAGGAGAATAAAGCCACTTAGCCAAGGGCCAGCCCTGTGGCTGTGGAGTCCCATTTAGAAAATAAATGTTTTTCATTACAGCCTGTATCACTAAAACAAGTGGTACGTCAGTCAATTCCAATGAAGGGGGAAAAAAGTCAGTTTAATACTTTTTTGTGCAGAGACAGACCATTCCAAGTGCCAAGCAATCCACCTTCAGATTGTGTTATTTGTAAAAAACAACAACAAAAAACCCCCAACAAGAACTGAGATTATATTATCAAGGTAATTTTCTTTCCTTTTACTATAAACTGATTTACAATGAGCCTCTTATCTATTATTTGTGTATAATAACAACATTTCAGCATTTCTGCATTCAGTACACTCAGAGGTTTCTGTTTCCCCACCCTCCATATTGCTTGTCTTTTCTTTCTTCTACTTTTGAGTCAGATACTTTCTTTTTGAGAATAGTTTGGTGGTTTCATCCCGTCAAAGAAGAGTGTAAGACAAAGACTATACAATAATTTCAAAATACAAAACACTGGGTCACCTACCCAGGACCGCAACACTGTGTAATTTTTCTTTTTGCATGGTTGTAGAGTTGTGGTTACAGACTTTATTGTCTCGTCCATACACTTACATTTTGAGTTTAATTAATTTGCCAAAAACAGATTAAATACAGTTTCAAGTACTAAAATAATTTACACATTAGTAACACAGAGTGAAACGAGACTATGGAATTCACTTTAAAAATCATAAAAGGGATGAAAGTGTGTCGATATTATCCACTCATGTATCAAAAATATTTAGTTCCCGCAGAGAATATTTTGTCCAATAATCAAAGAGCTAATGAAAATGGTCACCCTGCTCAAAAGCTACACTTGTCTCATAAGCACATGTCTGAAAGCTAGAATATTTAGCAAAGGTCAAATGAGCTCGTTCTAAACTAGGGATGGGTACCGGTATCCGGTGCCATTATGGCACCAGTTCTGACATAAACGGTAGTAACCAGACCGAAAAGCAGCGCACATTTCGGTGCTTTATTTAGGTACTTTTTTTCCGTGCTTTTTTTCCCCTGAGATGTCATACACTTTGGATTCTAGCCAATCATTTTACCTTTCCAAGGATAGCAGGTGGGCCCAGGTACGTACATTCTTTTAGAGCAGAGCTACAGATTAAAAACGCCCAAGGCGAAGCGGCCAAAAGTGTGGCTGTACTTCACAGCAAAAGATGCAAACTCAGCAGCCTGCAACAAGTGCTTTAAGGTGATACTGTGCAAAGGAGGTAACACCTCGAATCTGATGAAACACCTGACGACGCATAGC